CCTAACGTTCTGTGATTCTGTGATCTCCAGGTAACTGATCACATGTGAATAACAAGTGTTCATGATACCCTAGTTATCACAGGGGAAGCACTTTCTGAAATTCTTACAGCATTGAGTTATATTATGTTGCTCAATAAATAATAAAAGAATCGTGTGCTTCCTCTCACAAGGAGTGTGTTTCGTTATTTTGCATTCTGTATTTTCTTTTGATACTATATTAAACTACATTAAAGGGTGATAGAAGTAAAACTTTTGCTTGAGTCACCCCGTGAAGTGAGAGGGGAGAACTGATAGGAAAAGGGTTTGCTGAAAGGGTGGATGGTTTGTCTTCACTAAGCAGCTCTCTGTCCTGGCCCCTTACTGGATGCTGGAAGTCATTAAGTAAAGATTTTATGTTAAAAAAAAAGGCCGTGCAGTCATGGAACCAACATTCTGTGTTGTGAACAAGGTAGTTAAAATGACCAATCTGGTGACCCGGGGCAGTGAAGGTTTGGAAAACTACAAGGGCTTAAGAGAGTCTTAGTGAATTAATGCAGTCCAAGATTACACATAAATAAATAAAATATGTGCTCTGCTGGATTTGGGCCTAATTAAAGAATTGTCAAGTTGTTCAGACTTGTGCATATCAGTTTAGTCTGTTTATTTTTCCACATTTCAGATATTTTTGAAACTTACTGCCCTGATATCAAACATGTGCAAGCCACAAATCAACTTTTGTGCTGTATCTACAACTTACAAGATTTTAAATGTACTGAAAATGCAATCCAAACCAGTCATGACATTCCTCCCCTTACTTGTTTTTTCTCAGAGATTGGCAGTCAGAAATTCCACAAGTACAGCCAAGAGAAGACACTGAAGTGGTTAAAGAAAAAGGTATTGTGTTTCTCTTTTGCTTTTAAAATTGCTTTATGTTTAGAATCAAAATGCTTATTAGCTTGTCCATATCTGCATTTGAGCCATGTGTTATGCCTCAGTTCAAGGTGCATGTCCTGTCCAAGAAGGGCAGACATCACAGTAAAGTTGTTGCACTTGGGAATGTGATGAGATATTAGAGAAATCATAGGTGTGCTAATGTTTCTCCTTCTGATGGGGCTGTCATGAAAGAGCTTCATGGAGTGTGGAGAGGGAGAAGAGAAAGCTGAAGTTCTTCTTATTGCTGTGTTCTGTAGGCTTTGCATAAAGTGAGAGGCTTGTCTTCTGCTTTGTCCACATATAGGCTAGAGGAGAGCTTTGACGTGCAACTTCTAAATTCTGCCATGCTTTAAAGCTGGACAGAAATGCCTAGGTTTTGTGTTACAAATGGGTTTCCTCATAAGGTTTTGGCAGAGTCTGTCAGAATGGTCCTGGTACAGTTGCTGCTAACCTGATCCAGTCACGCTGTTCAAGAAGTCTACAGTATGCACAAAATAAACGAGTGTTATAGCTAAGTTTGATGTGGTCTATGTTTTGGTATAAACAAGGCGAATCTTATTTTGTACATGCACGTGTGCCCTTGCTATGATGCCACTTTGGAGAAGAAGACTGTAGGCATCATGTTATATAAGGAAGCCTTATCATTTTAATAAGTCAGTGGAAACAGAATCATAGAATAGTTTGAATTGGAAGGGACCTTAAAGATCATCCAGTCCACCCCCCCCTGCCATGGGCACCAGTGGACACCTCCCACTAGACCAGGTTGCCCAACGCCCCATCCAACCTGGCCTTGAGCACTTCCAGGGAGGAGGAATCCACAACTTCTCTGGTTAACCTGTTCCAGTATCTCACCGCCCTTAGAATGAAGATTTCCTACACAATGTCTCATGGGGCATACATAACTTCCCTGGGCAGCCTGTGCCAGTGTCTCACCACCCTCACAGTAAAGAATTTCTTCCTAATATTTGGTCTAAATTTACCCTCTTTCAGTTTAAAACCATTGCCCTTCGTTCTGTCACTACCTGCCCTTGTAAAAAGTCCCTCTCCAGCTTGTAGTCCCCCTTCAGATACTGGAGTGCCACAATAAGGTCTCCCTGGAACCTTCTCTTATCCAGGCTGAACAGTCCAAACTCTCTGTCAGTCCTCGTAGGGAAGGTGCTCCAGCCCTCTGATCATCTTCGTGGCCCTTCTCTGGATCCGTTCTAACATGTCCATGTCCTTCTTGTGTTGGGGGCCCCAGAACTGGATGCAGTACTCCAGGTGGGGTCTCAGCAGAGCAGAGTAGAGGGGGAGAATCACCTCCCTTTACCTGCTGGCCACACTTTTTTGATGCAGCCCAGGACACAGTTGACTTTCTGGGCTGCATGCGCATATTGTCAGCCCATGTTGAGCTTTTTATCAGCCAACACCCCCAAGTCCTTCTTTCTCCTCAGGCACTGCTTTCAATCCATTCTCTGCCCAGCCTGTATTTGTGTTTGGGATTGCTGCAACACACGTGCAGGCCTTCCACTTGGCCTTGTTGAACTTCATGAGATCGGCACGGGCCCACCTCTCCAGCCTCTCCATCCCTCCCCTCTAGTGTGTCAACCACACCACCCAGCTTGGTGTCATTGGCAAACTTGCTCAGGGTGCGCTCTATCCCATGGTCCATGTTGCTGACAAAGATATTTAACAGCACTGGTCCCAGTATTAATCACTGAGAAACACCACTCATCACTGGTCTCCATTTGGACATTAAGCCATTGACAACCACTCTTTGCAGCCATCCAACCAATTCCATATCCACCGAGCGATCCGTCCATCAAATCCATGTCTTACCAGATTTAGAGACCAGGATGTTCAGTGTTGAACGCTTTGCTCAAGTCTGGGTAGATGTTAGGAGTTGTTCTTCCCTTGTCCGCCACTACTGTAATCCAATTGTAGAAGGCCACCAAATTTGTCAGACATTATTTGCCCTTGGTGAAGCCATGTGGACTGTCACCAATCACCTCCTCATTTTTCGTGCGCCCTAGCAGAGCCTACAAGAAGATCTACTCCATAGTCTTGCCAGGCACAGAGGTGAGACTGACTGACCTGTAGTAGGGAATCTTGTCTGCTTGCTGCAATGATGAGGCATGGAGATACCTGTTTTGCAGTGAATACCTGAATATTTACATTTCAACAGGTATCTGTGGTGTTGAAAATCTCTTCTGCCAGTTATCTCTCTGTTAGATCCAGTATAGCAGTGCTCTGTAAAGTCCTTAATCTTTTATTTCTGTCAGGACTGCCTTTGTATTTCTCACCTGTATAATCAGGGCTGTTGCATCTGAGTAGCTCAGCTCATCTTGGGGTGCTGCAAAACTGGTGCTGTGTTGCCAAGGCAACACGTTCAAAGATATGCTGGTTTCTTTGGGTTCTTTGAGCTCATATGCTAGTCATTACAAGTGTGTATTAAATTTCACTACAGTCCATAACTTGAGTGTTTTATATGCTTGAAACAAAATTACAAGAGCTTTGTCACTGCATTAACATGTGCATAACAACACTGATACAGACCTTTCATTCTGTGGTTTCCTATAGGTCAATCAAACAGTGAAAGCACTTAAAAGCAACAATATATGTGTAGGTGAAAGGGTACATGCAGCTACATATGTCAGCGGTAAACAGATCACAGATACTAAGGAAGGTAAGAAAACTAAACATTGTAGTGAATTCTGTTTTTCTGAAATCACATATATGGAAATAAAACACGTACTTAGAATCTCAAATGTATTGAAACTGGCCTTTGCAGTAAATTTATTCCTTGTACAGAAAATTCCATGTATGTTGTGACTGTATGCCTTGACTTAGTTCTGAGTTATTTGGGATCTTCATTGAATGACATTGTAATTATCAGTAGGTCTCAGCTGGGGTTCTTTTAGCTTCTCCTTAGTTCAAAATCTGTTTCTCAGTGAAATATATGCTGAAGTGCTTTGCTGAACTGAAGCTGTCTTGAACAGTTGAACACATGCTTGTAATGCATGAGTGTTCACGCAATTATTGTCTCTATTAGAACAGGCTGCTTTTTTATTATTTTTATTAGCATGCAAATACTCTTCATACAATTCTCCCCAAAGGGAAGGAATTATAGGAAGTCATAGTCACAGAGCAAAAGTTTCTGGTTCAAACATTACTTTATGTGACAAATGTATCAAATACACAAGTGTGTGCTTCTTAAGGGCAAAAACTTTAATAACATGGGTATTAAATTGCCTGAAGTTGACAATTCTGGTACCAAAAAGTCTGGAGTGATCCTGTTTGCTTTTAGTCACCTTTTCCCTGGGGAGGACAATGTCCTGAATGGTAGTGGGATATAAAGTTGTGTAGAGAAACCTAAAAATGGACTTGGAATAAATTCTTTGACTGTTACTGAAAATTAAGAAAAGTTTAGAACAAGATGGTCAAAAGCAAATAGTTTCTTATTACAGAGACATTCAGAAGTCTGCATGCTGTTGAAGAATACAGAGAAATAAAGGAACTTGCTGACAAAATGGAAAATGAGTTACCAAGTAGTAATATCAAAGGAAACAACATAAATTAGATTTAAGAGGCAACTAGACAGTTTTATAGAACAGAGATTGTAATATATGGTTTTTAAAAAGAGGCAAAGCTGCAAAACTTATAAGCAACTTTAACTTTACAGTAGTTTCTTGTCCTTTTCCCTGCCTCCATTTTTTTAAAGAAAGGGAAAATTGTCCTGACAGCAACCATCTTGACTATGCTTAAATACTTTATCTCTGAAATTTGTAGTTAAATAGCTCATCTGCAGTGTTTTTTCCACCTTCCTTCTTACTTTATATTAACATGGATATCACAGTCTTTTATAAAGCCTTTTTCAGATTTAAAAGAGCGGCACTGGAAGAGGGAATATTGGGGTTTGAAAGTAGCTAAGTTTTGGAGGCAGTCCCACTATGTGTAGCAAGGTGAATGACAGGAAGTTAAATGGACCTTACTCAACACTTATTTTTAATAAGACTAATTTTCTTGTCTGATCCTTTCATTGCCATGACAGTGCAATTTATTTCTGTAGAGTTGCTTTCATAGGGGCATTATGAAAGTTCAGTTCCATATAAATAGATGAGTATATGTAGGTAGCATCTACAGATGTAGGGCAAAAAACTGGGAGGGTGTAATGTGACAAATGGGGAAGGAGAGGATGTTCAACATGTGAGACATGAATATTTATTCAGAAGACAAAGAAGGGAGGTGGGCAAGCATTCCTAGTGTTTGGCAGGAGGTTAATAACAAAACAAGGCTAGAGTGAGAACACAAACTCCCTAGGAGGCAAACTGGTACTTTAAAATTGGTAAAGGAAGTCAGTGAAGGTTGTTTCAAGGCAGAAATGCAGAGAATGGATGTTGTGTTTTGTAAAAAATAGTAGCAGTTGTCTTGGACTCACCATTCAGTGTCCTAATGCAAGGAGTGAAATGATGGGAATATTTTTCTTAAGCGATAAATTGGACATATTAAGTGCTGAGGTGAAATTGTCTTGGATTTGAATTATTTCTTGGTCTCTCCTGGCCCTAAAGTAGTCTTAGGGAGTGACAGATCCTTGGTGAATCTAGACAGTGAAGGAAAGAGAAGTGCAGATGGGAGATACTAAGAATTTGATGTAACTATAGTTGAAATACATATCCTGGTGTCAGTTTGTTAATGCTTTCTGCTTCAATGCCAGTTTGCATTGGGCTCTTTAGATTACAAAAGAAAAAAAAAAGAGGAAACTATCTCTGGCATAGAATAAATAGTTCTTTACCATCTTGAGGCTAGTTTAGCTTCTGAACTCTCTGAGCATGTAGGCATATGAACAGATAGAGCTGGCCTATTGTAGATGGGATTCAGAGGCGAGATTTGAGCTTAATGTCTGTTTGGCAAATATTCCCTGAGCACGGGTGCCGTTATTCCCTAGCAGCCCCAGCAACAGCAAGATCCAGCCCGTGATCAGTAAGTGCTTTTGCGGAACGTGACCAGAAAAGATCTGGTTTAGGACTTCATGTTATAAAAGGGTCACTTTTTTTTCCTAGTCTCTCAGAAAAACATTTATAGCAGGAGTGCCCTGTACTGAAAACAGCTTCTAGTAGTTCATATTTCCACAGATAATTATCCCGTCTTGCCAGTGATGTTTAGATAGGCCTTGGCATTTTCCAAAAAGTACTGAAATTAAGTACAAGACTTTGAAATAGACTCATTGTCTCATCTAATTGTTTTCAGTTGAAGCCAGAAAACGTACTTTAGTACTGAAGCCCTTGCCAAATAATTGTAAGATCCAGATGCTTTAAAATTAATGATTGTGTGTTCTGTTGAGTCAGCTTTTTACTTTTGCAGGTTTTTAAAATTTAATTTCTTCGGAAAAATACACGATATCTCATATTCTCAGAAAGTGAACAGCTTTTGTAAAGTACATACAGCAGATATTAATAACATGTGCTGACAAAGTGAGTGTAGTAAGTCTTTACTTTTTAAATAAACCTATGAGTGTCATATAACGTAAACTACTCAACACAGAGAACCATCACAGTGTATCCATTAGCAGTCTCTTACTATTAATTCAACTTTATGATTTATGGTAGCACATGCAACATGGCTAAGGCAACATGACTATATAATGTGAATGTTCTTTTTCTTCTCCTTCCCACTCCCTGCCCTCTTCGTGAAGACTATATATGGTATGCCCATGGGTTAATATCAGAATATATTTCTGAAGATCTGAGTAAGGAGTTGTTAAAATACCTAGGGTAAGTATTGTTCCAGCTAGCTGCTAGTTTTGTGTGGTGTGCATTATTGTCTTTTTGGTAATTTCCATTGAATACTGAGATTTGTTAATCAAGGTTCCAGTGAATGACACAATGAGATATTATATTTGCCACGCTTTGAATGTGATTTTTTTCAAATGTATGTTATGCCTTCCTGTTTTTGCTATGACCCTGGAGCAGAGATGTAATATATAAATCTGGTATGTCTGTTATCACAGTTGCATCTTGAAAACCTGAGCAATGTATCCCATTTTAAAGCAAGGTGAGGAAGAAAATCCAGAGTTAAAGCTCTTTCTCCGGAATAGTCAAGCACAAGCAGCAGAGCCAGGAGTAGAATCCTCATCCCCAGTCCTCTTTCCTTTTCCCTGCTCACTCCGTCCTGCTGGGCTTCAACTCCACATATCTAACCTGTGTTAATTTATATTTAAATCTGGAAGGTGAGCCAGCATCTTTATCCTGGTGTTCCCTGCCAGCAGCAGACTTTGCTTGAAGCATCACTGGGACGCTGCACCTGCCCCTCAGTTAATTTCTGTTCAAAGGGTTCTTTTATGGTGGCCTATGGAAAAATGTGCGATTTGCAGCTTGAAGTTCCATAGTTGAACAGTTTCATTGAGGAGATGTTATGTGCTTCATCTTACTAATAGCCAAGGTTTTCAAAAGTAAGGTGGAGTTCTCCTGGTTTGGTTTCCAGATGTAAGAACTTTTAAAAGAGCCCATGTTTCCATATGGTGCCTGGCTCTGTTTTAGTTACCTAAGTCAGAAATACAGAGTCCATGAGCTGCTTTTTTTGCAAACACATGCCGTGTGTGAGCAGCTGATAGCCAAAGCAGCATTTGTGGAGAAGGAATTATAAGATTTAGGTTGTGCAATCCAGCTGTCTTAATTTATAACTTAAAATGTTTTGTTCTGCAGGCTCCCAGAACTTAAAAGCCCAGCATCAGAGCCACCATTGAAGGTAGGAGAACATTAAGATATTGAGAGATACATTGTGTAAGCTAATTTCTGTGAATTATTATTAAAACTAGACTAGGCCAAGCACTGTGTACAACAAAATAAGTAAGTTGACCTTTTGAAAAGCCATTCTGAGATAAGGCAAGAAGTTTACCAGATACTTAATATTTTTAATAAGGAATATTTTGGTTGATTTTCCTATTTAAAAAAGGGAGGGGAAAAAGACATAGTTTATGCTTCTGGTCAGCAGTCTTTTCATATGTGTTTTGCTAATTTAGTTTTATTGAGGTTGATGGGACAATATGACCTCATAGGTTTTCTTTCATATGTAATTCATGAGGACCCTGAAAGGGACCTCCTGGATCATGGATTCCCAGACAACCATGTTGGATAATCTCTCATGCACTGACCATACTTCACTGTAAGTCTCATTAGGATTTTTTATTTCCATTACTTCTCTTGGAAGAGTGTTCTATAACCTCATTCTTCTGATGCTCAGAAACCTTCCTGTAAATTCCACCTTGAATTTATTCGTGGCCAATTTATTCCCCTGTGCTTTTGTGCTAACAGTTTAATTGTCGGGTTTTTTTTAATTGAAATGGCTCTTTTCCCTCCCTAACATTAGTTCTCTCAATGTCTAAAGGGAAAATGTATATCTTTTGTGTTTTCATTTTGTGAAGACAAATTTGGTTGTGTGAGATGAGTTCTCCATTCCCTCACCATTGCAGGAACATTTCTTTACACCTATTCCAAGATTAATTCAATTGTTTCAAAGCAGGGAATCACAATCATATATAATTATTCACAATAAAACCTTTACTGGTACAATATGATGGCATTCTTCCCTTCTTGTCTTACCTGGAAGTACTTCATCTCATTGCATCCTAGAGTCACGTTTTCCTCTATTACTGTGTGATGGACCAGATAGCTCGCAGTCATGCTGTGGACAGTTAAGACACACAGTTAATTTTTGTTCTTCACTGCAATTTTTAGTTGATCAGCATTCAGTTTTACGAGAAACTCAGGCAGTTAGCTGCTGTATACATGACCTTGTACTTACGTACATTTCATCTGTTTTTAGTGTTTCCAATCTTGAAGGTTCTCTGGCTTTTCTTTCACAGTGTTAAAAGCATTTTAAGTATTCATAATTGCTACTACATGGTGTACATTCAGCAGCTGTTAGCATGCTGTTATCTTTAATTAACAATTAATGAACATTTTAATAGATATTATTCATGGCACTCTACTAGTAATCTCCATCCAATCCTATGGCATCCTTTTCTGCATTATTTGCCTTTATTTCCCTTTTACCCGATGTCTTACCTACCTTAAAATTCTTATGCAGTCTATGTTTTCTATAATTTCAGTTACTTAAGTGCACCATGTCAGATCCTCTGACAGTCCTTCACATTTTCTGTCACCAAAAAATGTGGGTTTTTTAAGGAAAAAAGATAAGTTAATAGGCATTACCTATGTTTAGTTTTCATTTCTTCTCTCTCTTTAATTATTCTTCCTTCTTTCACTTTTTCTCCCCCCTTCCTCCTTCTAAGACCTACTGTCACTTTTTCCTTCTCCTTACACATGGATGAGTGTTTGGCGTTCTGCAACAATATGGTCCTGATAGAACAGTTGCCAGTTTTTGCTTCTGGACTTGTGATTTCTGAGGCAGTCTCCCAGCAGTGTCAGCATGTTGTGCTTTACTTCTGTCTTTAATAGAGTGATTTCTATTCTCTTTTCTGCCCCTGTGTTTAACCTCTTCATCTTTATTGAAAACAGTTTACTGAGGCAAAGGATTTATTCCATTTTGAGGCTACACATAGATTAGTTTTAATATCTGCCCAATCCTTGCTATATAGCAGCTTAGCTTTTTCTTTTCTGATTCCCTGTTTGCTTCTGTGGCTAAACAACCTTCTTCTATTTGTTTAAATTTCCTTTCCAAGGTCTAACTCAGCTTGGCTTTTTGGCAGTCCTTACTTCATCCCAGTATTACCTGACCCCTAAAACAAATGTCTTTTTTTTGGCAGTCTTTTTTTCCCCGTTAACTGTAGAATTCTGCTTACTCCTAGTGTCTTTTGATAGGGGTGATGGATGGAATATGTGTGCATCTGTGTGAGCGTGTACAGGGGGAGAATTCATATAGTTTAGTCCGAGGAGCTCTTTCTTTCAAGATATTCATGTTGTTTGAAGTAAGGGATCCAAAATCAGTTCTTCCATCTTTTTCTTTTACGTTCGAAGTGTCTTTCTCACATATCAAGTCCTTTGGCTTAGACAAGTAAGGCATATGGTTTGCAAAGTTTGTCTCTCTAGAATCAAGAACCCCACTTTTCATTATCCTTTTCATTTAATTTAAACTGAGACACCCTACGTCTACTGAAACTAGGTTACTTACTGCACCGACCTTTCCTGCAATGTCCCTGCTACTTACAGAAACAAAGTCTGAAATAACCTCATTTCTGGCTGGTTCAGTGACTGTTCTGTTAAGCACTATGTCAGCTAGCACATGCAGTAATAATTGGACCCTACTGTTATTAATAGCATTTGTTCTCCATTGTATATTCATGGATATAAGTTACTTCCATGTGGTTGGACAGTTGTTCTGGCTGCGCAGTTACTTGGCCCTTTGATTCAGTTAAGAATTATCTTTATGCACTGTAAGAAATATTAAACGCACATCAGGAGCCAACTGATATTCATTAGCCATATAAGCATGTTACAACAACTATATTAAACTACATGTGATGTACATTACATATTATGTATGAATAGCTTTTATACCATTGGGATAGTTCCGAGAATCTATTTTTAAAAATAGTTTTATTTCAGCAGTTTGGTTACAGAGGAAATGAGGCTTAGAACTGTTCAGTTGTTGGGCAGTGAAATCTTGCTGAAGATCCGATTAATTTCCAGAGCACTGACCAGGGTGTGTATGATGCATCTGTGTTTAAGTCTTTGTGACTTCAGAGATTAAGACACTCCTGTATTTCACAACCTCAGAGGAGAAAGCAGGCTTGTACGCTGGAACCTATAGTCTCCTTTAGACCATTTTTATTCACTTGCATTGACTTTTCTCTTCATGAGGGCAAGGTATATTGACAGACATAGTATAGGATTATTGCAAATAAAGAAAGGTCTGACAAATGTTTCCTGTTATGCTAAAGTAATTGCATCTTTAGAAGTAATGTTAAAATAAATTCTGAAAGGAGGAGAGATTTAAAAACTTCAATCGCTAACAGAAAAGCTATGTCAGATTCTCTTGTAGTACAAGAGTAAACTGGGTGCACTCTGGACTTTGTGATTTAATGATTAAATAAAAATTGTAAGTTATTTGTATTAATTGTAAGCCATTGATCTTGTGTTATAATAGTCATACTGTCCAGTTTGTCCACACAGGGAGTTTGTCCATTGGCAGATGATGACAGACATCTACAAAGAATACATAGGCTGTGCTACAACTAAACAGCAAATATTTTGCTGAAATGCAAACATTTTGTTATAAATTTTAAAAACTTGTTTAATAAATTTGAAAAAGAGGAGAACAGTAATTATTCATTAGATTGTAATTTGAAAATGTAATCACAGTAAACAGCCTCCTAGAGAGGCTGATCCAGATCCCATTGAAATCAAAAGAAAAGGCTGCTGTTGGATCTCATTCTAAGAGCTGAGAAATCTAAGCTGCAGACCTGGCTTCTGTGCCAAAGAGAGAGAGGGAGGAAGGGAGAGAGAGATCACAAGCACCATAAACAAAATGAATAAAACAGGATCTTAAAATGTATGGTACCATCCAAGTTACTTGCAAAATCACTCTTCGGCACAAAAACTAGGAGGGCCACAGTTTAGATTTCACAGGCTATTAAGGACGGGGTAATAATATCAGATCTATAATAATAATAAAAATACAGTGTTGTAAAATACTGTATGCTTTTTTTTTCCCTTTTGGAAACATACCAGGAAGTTTTCACCTTTATGAAAAGAAATATTCATTCTTACGGCTTGATCATGTGAAGTGCCGAATACCATTCACTTCCATTATTTCTGAAGTTAGAAGGCACCCAGCACATGCAGAGTCAAGCTTCTTAATACACTGTTGGATTCAAGTGATGAAGCAGTCAGCAGAACTATGTCAGTGTTTCACTCTTGCCAGACTGCAGAAACTAATTACTTCTAAAGGTTGCGCACAACCAGATAATAGTCTAGATGACGGTCCACTTGTTGGCAGATAGCAGTAACACTGGCGTTGCTGCAGAGTTCCATGGGGACCAGAGGCAAGGTTCCCTGGCTGTTAGTAACTTCCAACAGCTGCTCCATAAAGGTTCTCTAAATAGTCTCTGACACCACAGTCACAATCATGGAACTTAAAGACGGCATTCAAGTGATTTCTAGAAGTCATTCTTCAGAAGGCTAGGAAGAAGAAGATGTTTCCCATGACACTGAATTATTTTGTCTGAATACTGTAGACATGGTATATATATTTACATGTAAAGAAGACAATTGCAAAGAGAAATCTTCCCCATTACTGCAGATTCTTCAGGGTTGCCAGTCCTGTTTTGGTGCTATGGTTGCGTTATAAAACCAAAGCTTTAAACTTCCATGTGTGTACATCATGAAAGTGGTTGACAGAGCAACTCACTCTAACATTTCAGAAAAGGAAATTATCAGATGTCCCTGTGGAAGCAGAAGATGACTATACTAAGCTTAACAGCAGCAGTCTGAAAACCAAAAAGGTAAGCAGGTCTTGCATTCAGGCGTGTTTTACTAAAGCATATAAGCAGAGTGTGCCTGTTTTTCTTTTCCAAAACACATCAGAAAAACAAATAGAAGATGGCAGATGTCTCTAGTTATATCGTCTTGAACTTTTCGTTCAGGTTTAATTTGACTTTGATAGTCTTAATGTCCCATTCTGAACTCTTCTGTACTGTTACTGTTTGCCTGTATTTTATCAGTGAACATTCCAGTGAACCTCACAGACTTGAAAATATATGTTAAGGTGCTCAGCTAATGTTTGCAAAGCTCTTTGAGATCTTTAGATGAGAAATCCTATGGCTTAGTGATAGCAACTGTTACATTTCAGTTATCTGAAAAAGGAACAAAGATGGCAGCATTCACTTAAATTGCAAAGGATGTTAAGACAGGCTTTATTTTTACTTAGAAATACTGCTTGTGCACTTACTTATGTCAACTTAATGAAGTTAAATCAACACAGAGCTTGCTGATTGCCAGCTCCAATGCAAGTTTGGAGGCCAATTCAAATCTGAGTCCAGTCTGCCTGCCACTGTACTATTCCTAGGAGAGCAACAGAGATGTGAAAAGCAATAGATTGTGTCTCTGTGTGCCAAGGTCGTGAGGCTTGCCCTGGCTTATTTCTCTGAACATGGAAGGAAAATGGATCTTTCTCCGGTCCATTGGGAACCAAAAAGGCCCTGTGTACTGGTCTTGTGACCTTCAGACTAATGCTGACTACTCTTTATCCCTTTGCAAAGAGAAGCAGCTGGTGACAGATGCATTCCTTCCTCCCACCAAAGCCCCCAGATCTTTGTGTATTCAAGACACATACCAGTTTTGAAATAAGAGGAGGATTGCCCCCTAAGTGAAAGTAATAAATAGATTAAGATATACTTGACTCCCCCCTTCCCCTGTTATGTACCTATAGCTTTTGAACTGAGCATGAAGATAGAAATAAACTGAGGAGAGATAATTCATTTTAACATTAAATATGATTTACTTCTGAAATAATGAAGCACGTTGATGAGAGAATCTGGGAAAGAAAAGATAGTGCTTGGACTCTGTACAGTATACTACTCTCTTTTAAATACTTTGGCAGTAGTTTTGTTTGTATAGTAACACAGATGATCATACTGTTGTTGCATATCTCCATCCTATCCATAACTTTCTAGCTGATCCCAGGTATTGTAATTGTGAAGTCTTGCAGACTGAGCAGTATTATGAATAAAGGTCAGTGCAGAGTTTTCTTAATAAGGAAAACAGCTAGAGATTTAGAACATAACATTATAAAATGTAAGAAAAGAGGTCAGCTCTATAAAACGTGGCTCATAAAATGTGTTTTAGGTGTAAAAGTCTGGGAAGTTGTCCCAGTGGCCTCAAAGTGCTTTGCAAATGTTACCTTCTTCATTCTTAGTTCTTCCATCTCTTTTCCTTTATTTCACTCTGCATAGAGTCTTTGATAATAAATCTGTGTGAATTATTCATCGTCTATAATGCAAGGCTGTAATTCAGCTTGCTGACAGCATAATCATGAGATTGAGTTGGAGGGTACTGTTTGCATCTGTTATATTGCATGCATTATTTCTCTTAATGTACACTCAGGGATTATCCCAAAGTAAACGTTTGCGTTGGGATACCTCGTTCTACAGAAGGGAAAGATGTTTCACCTCCTTGTCCTTGTAATTGATTCTCTGTCTTGGTCTGAGGTTAAGTAATTTGTGACAAGTATTTTTCTGTTTCAGTAATTTTAGATTTGTTTTGTAAGATTTTTCTCCTACAATTTAAAGCTTGAATAACATTATCTTTATTGCTGTATACTAAAAAAGCAATTCAGCTTCTTACTTGACTCTTGTATTTAGGAGTTTGTAGCTTATGCTACTCTTCTGTAGAGATGCAGCTTAACTTTTTCTGTTTATCATTTCACTGACAGGCAAACAGCAAGATGTCTGCTGCACAGAAGGCTCTGGCCAAAGTTGATAAAAGTGGAATGAAATCTATTTCTACTTTCTTCAGCTCCAAACCTAAAGCATCAAAATAGACACTTATTCTTGGAAGGGTTTTATACAGTTGGTTATTTTTATGTTAAGCTAAAGACATCTCCTGGAGTTTTTTGTTAGTATAGTATATGCAGGGCATGTCTGTGTACATGGTGGAGTGTGATGAAGAGATCTGTGAGCTAGCATGGGACAGAGGTGTTACGCCTCAGTGGGGCCAGCAGGACTGTGCAGATATTCCAGCCTGGCTGCGTTAGCATGGTCCTGTCAGCTGAGACTCAAGGTTTAGCGTGGTACCGTGCTGTGCTGCTGCTTGTTCTACAGCAAGCTCAGTCAAGGCCACCACAGACTTTTCTCTGTTGCAGTCCATTCTGGGCTGGAAATATGCCCTCCTTCAATTAGTTTTTAAGAAGAGTTGTTTTCATTCCTAAGGAGCATTATTTTTTTTGAGACTTTCTAGAGATTTTTGCCCAGTATAAGACCAGAATAGGATGGCATCATTAGACTTTTATGTTGCTCCACATCTAAGTGCTGATGTTAGCATTGCTGTTGGTGGCAATTTATTGAGGCAAGGATCGAGTCTATTATGGGATTTTGGTAATTTTGAATATGCTATAAACAAGTTGCAATAAATGTCAATGTGCATGTAATGCAATAAAGTGCTTTGCGTAACAAATTTGTGATTGTTGTATTTGCTGTATGTTTCAGGAGTTAGGCTATGCTTCACGACACTTCTTAAGGGGTTTTGGTATTTTCCTGTCTATAAATTTTAATCCCTAAAGAATTACAGCATCACTTTGGGCTTACGCAATAAATCTCTTAACACATAGCAATATAGAGGTATTTTTATGTTCAGTTCCAAGTTCAGTAGGTTCTCACAAAAATAATTAGGACAAGATTTATTTAAAGACAAAACTGGGGTTTTTAAAGATGCCTGTTTGGAGCTGGATGCATCATTCAAAAGCTTAACGATGAGTCTTGGATAAGGGTTAGTTCTATTAAGTTTTGCATAAGGTAGGACTCTTACTTAAAATGTGCTACTCGCTCTTGGGTGTGTTCTTTCTTCATTACAGAGTATTCCTGTATATTCAGAGGGGTAGCTGTCTGCTGTGTTGGCAACTTCCCTGATTCACAGAATTGAAAAGGAGATAGATTAATAAAATTCTGGTAATGAATGTCAACTTTCTGAAACAATATGAGCGAGGGAGGGGGGACGCAGTAGAGAACACCCAAAAAAGAAAGGAAACAAAAAACCCAAAAATTGCTATGTGGAGCCACAGAGAAACTCCTGTTACACCACGCTGCCTTGTTCAACTGTTTTTAGCAGAATTTCACCAGCCCTATCAGCCCTTTTTCTGAGATTAACTCTCAGAGTAATTTAAAAGTTAACAGTAGATGTCATTGTATGTGACAATTTCTGTGTGCGCCACCTTTAGAAGTGCACTCTTGCTTTTTTCCTACTTGACTTGTCTAGGCTGTGAGTGAAGACCAGCCCTGTAGCAGCATGTATTGGTTTATCCAGTGGGTCCTTGGTGTGGTTGGAAAGAACAAGCATTTGGTGAGCCCAGATTGAGCAATTATGGTCATGAACTGGAAAGGCTAGATTTTGAAAAACATTCAGCCTAGCCCAGCAGTTTGACAGTCAGAGAACACCCCCCAACTTCATATCAGTAGGAGAAGGGATGCACCAGTGATGACGACTTTTGAAAACCACCTCTCAAAGTGCAGGCTAATGTTATGGAAAAAAACAGAAAAAGAACAAGCACACACTGTCATGTTAATGGAGAAGTTTTTTGTCGTAAGCAACATCTTAGGGTGTATTTTGGTAAATGAGAGGAAAAGAGTTGTGTGTCTATTAATGGAAAGCCAATTCCAAGCACTAGAAGATGCTGAGAAGGCAGACAAACATGGGATGGATGTTGAAATCGAAAACCAAGAATGGGAGTTACATTAGAAACGGTTACTGTGAGGTAGGACAGATCCATGGTAGAAGCTACAAGGGGGGGGGATATCAAGATGCTGGAGCATGTCCAGAGAAGGGCAACAAAGCTGATGAAAGGTGTGGAGCACAAGTCTTCTAATGAGTGGCTGAGGGAAACTGGGGTTGTTTAGTCTGGAGAAAAGGAGACAGTGAAGACCTTACTGCTCTCTACAGCTACCTGAAAGGAGGTTGTAATGAGGTGGTGGTCTCTTCTCCCTGGTAGCTAGTGATAGGACAAGGGGAAATGGCCTCAAGTTCTGCCAGGGGAGGTTTAGGTTGGATATTAGGAGGAATTTCTTCACTGAAAGGTTTGTCAAGCACTGGAACAGGCTGCCCAAGAAGGTGGTTGAGTCACCATTCCTGGAGGTGTTTAAAAGATGAGTAAATGTGCTTAGGGACATGGTCTAGTGGAGGACTTAGTAGGACTGAATCCATGGTTGGACGCAATGACCTTGAAGGTCTTTTCCAAGCGAAACCATTCTAAGCTCTTCTTCTGGATATTTAATTATGCTAGTTCTAGGGGTGTGGTTTTTAATAGTTCAAAAGTTTTGTGAAATAAATTTTGGAAATGTGTCTTTTCATCCACTGAACTGTTCAAGAACCTTCTAAGAAAAAGTCCCCATTTCTCTGGTCAGAATTCAGGTCAGAAGGAGGACAATTCTGGTAGAGATGGGCAGCCTTTGTACTGACTCCTGATCTGGGATACACATTTCTCTGTACATGACTTTCACATCTGCTGGTGCACTTGAGGACTAAGTCTAGAGTTCTTCCTCTGTGCATAGATGTGCTGTGCTTTAGCGTGTCACATCTCAACTTCAGCTGACAGCTATGCTGTAACTTACAACAATAGTAATTTTATTAGTGACTGTGCTTTTGGGGGGGAATTTGTGCATGACAAAAAAATTAAGCCGTTTCCAAAAGCCATTAGAGCTTTCACGTGAAAACAAAAACTCTTTTCCCTTTAGGAAAGAATGAAATTCATTTAGTAACTTTGAAACTTCCTCAACATGTAGCTTTAAGAAGTTATGAAGAGCATGTGGTGCCAAATACATAAAACAATATTTCCTACCACAAAGAGGATTTAAATATAGTTACTATGCCTGGCCAGCAGTAGCAGTAGGTCATTATGAAGTGCTGTTTTGCTATTTCTTTCTTGGTTAGCTTAGTATGAAAAAATACGCCAACACCATTATATAAATGTGGTCTTACTTTATTCCTTTTTCTGGTTTAACATGCCATCTCTATATGTTCATGTAAATATCTGATGAGTTGTGATGCTTTTGTGGTTGTTGTTTTGGGATTAAGCAGCTCTTGCATTTCCGCTTCTTTAGGCTTCACATTGCAAATGGATTGACATCAGTGGGCATGGAAAACTTCATATGGAAATACTAGCACTGACTTAGGGATGTGTAAGGGTTGGACTTGCATATTATTTTCAGTCTTAAGTAATAAACTTAGTTCTATTTGTAGAAGTGACAATTGTGATTTTAATGTTTTCAGTGGAAAAGGTGGCACAGTTGGCAGAATTGGCATTCAGATCTGAAATTTAGGAGAGTTCATTGATGCTTGTTTTCAGGTCTTCAGTTGTATCTGACCTGATGTTTTTCAGAGGGAAAGTAAATGCATGGATGCTTATTTTAACAGACTAATGTTTATGACTAGGGTTTTCTCTTTCCTTTTTAGATGCCTGAGCAAAGGCATGCAAAGAAGAAATGAAAGGAGCATGAGGAGACTTGCTATTATTATTTTAAATTGCCATAATCTTAAAGCAGCTTTTAAAGGCCTTTTTTACGCACTTTCTGAAAAGAAATGCTTGAAGTTAGACATGCCCTGTTCCAAGAAAAAGCAAATCTCAGCAGATTAACATTGTTAAATATGCAGTGTGTTAAACATACACTGCTTCAAATTTTATAGCTTATACACTATTGGTCTATCAGGCCCTTCCAGGAAAGCACTTACAAGCATGCCTAATGTTAAGCACATGAGCAGTGATCTTAAAGTCAGCAGTGTTGTCCGTGTGGGTAAGTGCTTTGCTGGATCAGCGCCTAAAGTCCTGTTAGGTGCTGAGCATCCTGATCCATATCCAGCAAAGCACTTAGGTCCATGCTTATCTTGAAGTGGAAGAGCCGGTCTAACTAATATTTGTGTGTTAGTGTTCACCATAAAATCTCTCTTGGCACAGTGACTCACATGCTCAAAATTAAGCACCTGCGTAAGTATTTTACAAGGTCAGACCAACAGCATCCTTGAGCAAGTCTTTAATAATTACTCAATTTTTTAATGAATTTTCCTTTTTTGTACTTGTTTTTTGACAGAGTATATGATTTTAGTGGCTATAGTTACAAATTTTAGGAGCTGCATAGCAAAATGTTATATGCAATTTTCTCCTTTTCAAAATCTACCCAAATTCAGGAAGGTGGCCTTTTTGGACTAGAAATCCAATGTTCAGACTTAGAATTATCCAAAATGAAAAAAAAAAAGGTAACTGTATTTTTAGGACATGTACATTTTTAAAATTTACTTCACTGAGTTTGATTTAAATGGTTTTGTCCAAACCTGACCTGTTATCCAGAAGACATCACCCAGCTCTGGTTGTGCAGACAGTCTGACTCTTGACATGCTAAAGCTTGAGGTAGGATGTGTTAATATCTAACTTTTTGCTACCAAACATTTTAGAAGTAATAATTGACAGGATTTTGAACATAATGAATGTGTACTTCTGTAAATTTTAGCTATGACCTCAGTTCACCGACACCTGCAGCAAATGACCAAAAGGTTCTGTAAAGCTTGAATATATTTGAAGCCTTCTAAATAAGAAGTTAAAAAAATATTTAGCTTCCACTCTGGCAAATTCTGCCTAACTTCAAGTCAAGTGAGAGCTCAAGAAGAGTTTATTAGGACATTTCTGAAAACTAAATTCCAAGACAAAGAGGCAATAGCTTACTAAGCTTTCTTTTCAACTGATTCTGATCAGCTCTGTATCAGAATATGAAAAACCCAAACTGTTAATCATTTAGAAATCGTGTATGTAAGGAAATGTAATCTGAATGCTTAATTTAGGAA